CCTTTACAGTTTTTAATACTGGAATTTCTGCCCATAGAAGACTGTTCACGAGTTTACCTCTCTCATACTTTTACTAGCGAATTCGTTGCCGTTAATGGCAAGCGGGAACTTTCTAAAATTTCCGAATTTATCTGGCCCTTTGACAAGAATATCTCTTGGCCATAACTCAATTTTCGGGAACACAATGATGTTACCATTTTTTCTGAAGAAATACCAACAGCAAATAAGTCGTTATCACTTACAGTTTGTACGACACAGCCATGGAGCGTTTTTCAACACCAATGTGGTTTCGTAGCATGCGTAGGAGAGCGCAGAGATCCGATTAATATGCTCCGCACTGACCGATGTCATCGGCAGCCTGAAATGAGCTTTTATCCTGTCTAGTATGTAACATCAAGTCTTTCCCAGAACAAATCATGCTTTGGGACAATTCTATGTACCCTCGAATTACTGCACCAGAGACACAGAAGAGCTTGGCAATGACTGGGCTTGACATGGGTTTTGAATCTGTACAAAATCTCTCTACTATTTAAGATCTTTCAGATGATGTACCGCGCATGAAGAGCAGAATCACGTGTAAGGTGTTGGTATAACGACAAAGTGAAGCTTTCGTCCAGAGATACCCTTGAGGAGCCGGAAGGATGCAGCAACTTTGAATATTCAGGAAATGTAAATATTTCATACAATACTCTCATGGGAATAGTTGAAAATCGAGTTCTCCCTGGTGATAATCTCACGGCAAGTACACTGAACTGTTCAAAAGACAGCGGAAAAGTTCTCATTAGGAACATAAAGGGGGAAAGTTCACGCAAGGGTCCTCATTCTGCGCTTGACGTCTGACCTCTATTCAAATCGACGATAAAAATTAGGTTGCTGGAGAATTTGTCCAAATACGTTTGACTCACGATTGCTTATGCTCCTTCTCCTCGGTTTTTTCTGGTTTACGACCATCTGGGCCTTGGTTGAACCAGTACGCCAAGTATGAGCACATCAGTGGTAAGTCCACATCGTAGACGTTTGGCTGCTCGGCGTACGTTATGCCGTTGCTGGATACCTGCAGAAATGTTGTACTAATAGTATCATACGACACGATTAAAAGGAAGATCAGATACATTTAACGACATTGAGAAGCGCAAGCGAAAGGGGAGAAATAGCGAGAAGTGAAGCGAGAAGATTAAGAAGATGCATAATATAAGTTCAGTATAGGGGGGTTACAGTAACGCGGGAGAAACAAGAGACGTCTATAAGCGCAAAGCGCAAAGAGCGGCACCTACCAAAGTTAGGCGATGCCCGCTGAGGATAACTAGTAGAAGGCAACGCCAACTGTCACTAGGGAAAGTAAGTTTCAGAGCAGCATTGCGAGCTAAGTAGTAAAGAAATGATATGCGAGCAGTGAAATAGTTTCAAGATGGTATGATAAATCAGTACGCACCTGTTCGATAGCGGTGAGTAATTTCTCAATGTGAGGAATGTGAGTGGACAGATTCTGTAGCATTTCTGGAAACAAAGTTGTTTTCAAATAATACGAGCCAGACTCCTGTAATTAATTTATTTAAAAATTCTGTTTACCTTGACCATATTAATGAATGGCCACAGTTATGTCTGGAGCAGTTCAATCATTCCGTTGGAAGCGGAGGAAAACTAACTTCATCTAGTCTGCGGGACATAATCAAAAGGAGCTAATAATGGCGCAGATGCTAGACTTCTAGCCAATGACATAATAGGTTGGTTCTCATACACGCCCACACTATGGTAGCCTTTAAGCTGTTCACCGCCCTTAGATTATAAGAAAACTAGAAAAATAACTAGTTCCAGCATAACGTAGCTCTCATTGAGTCTCTCTACTGGTCCATAACCCCGTGAAACGTCTCTGGAGTTTCAAAGGGAAGGCAAGATCATGACGCTTTTGAAATAAAAACACCCATCGCGGCCCCTTATTTCACTGAAACCAAATGCTAGCACTAGGGGAGCTATAAATCAAAAACAGTGAGTTAATGTGGAAAAAGAAAAAATTATGGAAGTTCCACAGAAGCTATTATTTAGCTAAAGGACTGTATAGCAGATTGTTTTCCTGACGTAA